CAGGTTCAGCTGTTGTTCAGCATCTTAGCTGTAGAGGGCAGTGTCACTGGCCCTCATATGTGGGATCTGAACCGGGGCCCTCTAGCGTCCCAAGCCAGTTCTTAACCATCGCGCCACTCGGCCAGCCCCCAAGCCAGTTCTTAACCAACGCGCCACTCAGCCGGCCCCTGCTTTAGTCTATTGTTGACGTAAGAAATGTCCAAACTTGGGGCTGCTGGTTAGCTCAGTTGGTTATAGCACAGGGCTCATAACACCAAGTTGCCAGTTCGATTCCTGCATGGGCCACTGAGCTGCGCCTTCCACAACTAGATTGAAACAACTATTTGACTTGGAGCTGATAGGTTGTGGGAAAACACACTGTTCCCCAATAAAATTAAAACACACACACACACACACACACACACCCCTTAAAATTTTTTTTTTAAACTTGTAGAGAATTTTTCTGAGTTTGTTCAACCCAAATGGATACATATGCTGGGAAGCCAGATTTCAAATGCTCTGGAGAATAGCAGTTTGGTCCCTTCTTTTGTGCATTTGAAATTAAGGAGGGAACTAAGGAAGATGACGTGGAAGTGGAAAAGCAAGGTGGGGATTGGATTATAGGATAATTAACAAGATGATGTGCTCTCTTGAGGGTGGTTACTTTGAAGAAGAGGCATTTCAAAGATGTGTTAACCTTGATGCACAGAAATAACAGGACAGGGCTTGCTGAAGGCAAAGGTAAACTTTTACAGAAAGTGATATGCCTGGGGCATGACCGCCCACTATGACCTGCTTAGTTGGGAATTTGTGATCAGATCACCCTGTGAGGTCACTTTCCATGGAATCCCCTCCTTTTTTTGTCTACTCTACAGATTCATTTCCAAAATTACTTAGCTCAGCACCTTTTGTCCCACCACCTACAGTAAGTTTTTTTTCATACATTTCTAATACAGTTAGATTCTTTGTTACATCCTGTATTCTATCCTGTGATATCCCCACATCATAAATAATTTGAATAAATTATGATTTACTCTTTGGGTTGTAAAAATGTATGGGTATTGGAAAATGCATAGTGCCAGGTATCCATTACTAAAGTATCATATGGAATATGTACTCCAAATTCCCCGTGCCATGGTTTACCATCTCTGTAGTTTTTTTTTTTTAAATTGGGGAACAGTGCGTTTTTCCAGGACCCATCAGCTCCAAGTCAAGTAGTTGTTTCAATCTAGTTGTGGAGGGCGCAGCTCAGTGGCTCTGTGCTCTACCCAACTGAGTTAACCGGCCGCACCCCATCTCTGTAATTTTGCCTTTTTCTGAATGTCATATAAACGGAGTCATACACTGTGGAGGGTCTTCATATGGAATTCTTTCAGTTAACAACGTATCTGTAAGATTCATCCATGTCTTTGCATGAGTTGATGGTTCATTCCTTTCTATTGCTGAATAATATTTCATTGCTTGTATAGGGAAGGGAAAAATACTTTTCTCTCTATTCTTCTAGTTTCTTGGCTGAGACCCCCCTCCCCCCACTATCATAAAGACATTGACGGGAGAAAAATAGAAGTTTAAGAATATCTATACCTCCCGTATACGTTGAAGATACCCAGGAAAACCACATAACTCCCTGAAATGGCCCAAGTCATAACCTTAGATACCGTTTTCAGCTAAAAACAAAAGCAAGATGCTGGGGGAGAGGAGAAGCAGAATAGGCAGGTCACCAGGCAAAGCCCAGTAAACAAGGTATGGCTGTTATGTAGCTATAGTTCAGGTCTGTTTCCATTGAAAAGAGTCTCAGATTGAGTCATCCTTCTGTTTTTGGTACAGACAGGGAGACACCCTTACAGATGGAGATTTCCCTTATAAATGTCAGCTTCCCTCACGAAAGGACAACTAATAAAGGTTTTCAGAGATTCTCCTATGTCTGCTCTTTTAAAAATTGAATCAGCTCAAAAATAATCCTTATCGGGTGGCCAGTTAGCTCATTTGGTTAGAGCGCAGTGCTCATAACACCAGGGTTGCTGGTTTGATCCCTACATGGGCCACTGAGCTGCGTCCTCCACAACTAGATTGAAACAGCTACTTGGCTTGGAGCTGATGGGTCCTGGAAAAACGCACTGTTTCCCAATAAAAAAAAATCCTTATGCCATTGAGGCATATTTTGGGGTGGCAGTTTCTGCCTCCCTTCACATGGATGTACCCCCAATTTGCTCATGCATTCATATACTGAAGGACATCATAGTTTCTTTCAGTTTTTAGCCATTATAAATAGCACTGCTGTGCGTGATGGCATGCTAGTTTTTGTTTGGACATAATTTCTCCCAGCAGTTGCATAAACACTAGAGGCAGGATTGTTGGATCCTAAGGTGAGACTTGTTTAGCTTTGGGAAAAAACTGCTAAACTATTTTCCTAAGTGGCTGTATATTCCACCAGTAATGAATGAGAGTTCCTGCCAAAATGTGGGGAGAGGGGTAAAGAAAGAGGGGCCCTTGGCAGGTAAGGTGATGGTCCCAAGGTGGGGTCCTAAGATGCCAGCAACAGTCAGGAGCTCAGACTGAACCAAAGAGTGATACAACCATCTATGATCAGCTGAGACTGGTGGGCACAAGCCTCCTCTCTGTGTCCCTGTCTCTTTGTCTCTGACTGTCTCTCTCTCTCTGTTTTCCTCTTTCTGTGGCCTCATGTGATCTCCATGTGCTCCACTTGTGTCCCTGAGTGCTCCCCATGTGGCCTTCAGCTACCACCAACTTGTCCTTCAAACCCCATATGCCCCCCACGTGACCTCCCATTGCCCCCATATGATCTCCATGCCCCCACATCCAGGTTACCCCCATGTGACATCACCTGACTCCCACATGATGCTAACTTGATCCCAATATGACCCTCACATGACCCCACATGACTCTCACCTGACCCTAACTTGACCTCCATATGACCCCCACATAACCCCCACACAACCCCAACGTGACTCCCTCCTGAGCCCCATGTGAACCACGTGACTCCCTCCCTACAATGTTACCCCCACATCCCCCCAATTTGTCTCTCACTTCCTTTATGTGGCCCTATGTGGTCCCCATATGACCCCCATGTGCCCTCCACATGGCCCCATTATGACCCCAGGCCTCCCACTTGCACTCCACGTGACCCCCATGTGGCCTTCACGTGTCCCCAATGTCCTTCATATGCCTTCCACCTGTCCTCCTGTGGTTCCCATGTGCCCCCCCCCGTGGCCCCCATGTAACCCTCATGTATTCATTCCCCAAGGCCCTCAAGTGACCTCACACAATTTCTATGTGTCCCCATGTGGTCCCATCATAGTCCCCAAGTACTCCCCATGCGCCCCCAACTTGTCTCACACATGCCTTCCACATAGCCCCCATGTGGCCCCACGTGGTCCTCAGGGGGCCCCGCTGTGGTCCTGTAACAAGAGCGAAATGCTCAGCCTCTCTGACTAGAGTAGAAATTTTTAGTTTTAAAAAGTCCACGTTATTAATTTTTTTCTTTTGTGGATAGGCTTTTGGTGTTGTGTGTTAAAACTCATCACCAAAGCCAAAGTCATGTAGATTTTCTTTTATGTTGCCTTCTAGATATTTTATAGTTTTGTATTTTGAATTTGTGGACGATGTTGAGTAAATTTTGGTGTAAATTGTAAAGTTTGTGTCAACAGTCATTGCATTCCCTATGGTTTCCAATTAATGTTTCCTTAACGACTTTTGGAGAAGTCATGGGATATTTGGCTTCATTTCAGTTTGTATTTCCGAAGTTGAATGGATTCAGCAGGACGGCCCAGAAGGGGCCTGGCGTCCACTGAACTGAGAGGCGCGTTCTGCACGTCCCCGCCAGCCGGCAGGGGGCGCCCGAGCCCGCCTCTCGGACCCTAACGCTTCCAGCACACACTGCCCATGCACTTGGCTTTTCGCGCACGTTGAGGGAGGCTGGTCCCCTCGGGACATACACGAGAGACGTCGCTGCGGCTTTGGGAAAAGGTGGGGTCGCGTCATCACCGACAGGAGCTGGGTTTCCTGAGGACCCGCTGGGGAGACGCCCCGGAGGGAGGATAAGGTGAGGAAAGCTTCCTGTGTGCGTGGACTGCTGGGGGGAGGGGCGTGTCAATTTTCAGAGGAAGGGCTCCATGTGGAAAATTGTGGGGTTTTTAGTTTTTTGTGTGATGGAAGGTAGTGTCCAGTGTTCCCAGCGCCCCTGTTTATGCTCATTCATTTCTAGGCTCTCCATTCTGCTCCATGGATCTGTACCAGTGCCATACTGTTTGGTGACTCCAGCTTTGTGATATATTGTAGTTTGAAGTCAGGAAGTGTGATACCTCCAGGTTTATTCTTCCTCAGGACGGCTTTGGCTACTCGGCATCTTTCGTGGTGCCCTGGATACATGTTAGCATTGTTCTATTTCTGTGAAAATGCCATTGGAATTTTCATCGGAATTGCATTGACTCTGAATTGCTTTGGGTAGAATGGCCATTTCAATAACATTAATTCTTCCAATCCATGAGCAGGGTCCATCTTTCCATTTATTTATGTTTTCTTCCATTTCTTTAATCAATTCCTTACAGTGTTCAGGTCTTTCACTTCGTTGTTTAAATTTATTCCTAGGTATTTTATTCTTTTTGGTGCAATTGTAAATAGGATTGTTTTCCTAATTTCTTTTTCTGATGGTTTGCTATTAGTGTATAGAAATGCAACTTATTTAAAAATTTTTTTTTATTGGGGAACAGTGTGTTTTTCCAGGACCCATCAGCTCCAAGTCAAGTAGTTGTTGCAATCTAGTTGTGGAGGGTGTGGGGATCGAACCGGCAACCTTGGTGTTATGAGCACTGCACTCTAACCAACTGAGCTAACCCACCACCTCTGTAACTGATTTTTGTATGTTGATTTTGTATCCTGCAAATTGACTGGATTTGTTAAATCATTCTGTTTTTTGGTGGTGGAAAATTGGAATTCAAAATGCCCATTGTGTCTACCGCCTCCCAGGTCATCCACGACACCTAAGACCTAGACGCTACTAGTATAATTTTCCCAGCGTGCCTCTTAATAACATGTGGACTTCCACATGGGAGATTAGTGTCCCCACTTTGGGTGCTGGATCAGCATAGGGCTTGACCTCTGTAATGAAGCTTGATGTCTTCTCTGCTTTTCTGGCGTGGTTGTTTCAAAAAGTAGTTTACTTTCCAGTCATTTCAAACATCCAGAAAGTTTGCAGTAGCATTACAAATACTCTTTATCGCTATACTCAGATTTCCCAGCTGTCACTACTTGACCACATTTGCCATTTCCCACTAAGTACGCCAGTGTTTTATCCAAAACAGGTGTGCTGTCCCAGGGACCCACCTCATCACCCCAAGGAAGAAATCATTATGGTTTCTATTGATACATTATAATCCAATCCACGGCCTCACTTCAACCTTCACTACCTGCCCCAACTGTGTGAAAATGTCTTTTTTGTTGTAATCCAGTTTTTTTTTTCTGTAACTGTTGCTGAGACTTTCCCTCATTTCCCCAACTTTGATGGATTTAAAGCGCAGAGTATGATTCCAACCTGGGTGGCCTTTTCTGCTTGGCTTTTTTTCTTTTACAATGTCTTTAATGTCCACCCATGTCTTAACGTGTATCAGTACTTTTGTTTTTTTCATTGTGATTAAATATATGCAACACAACATTTACCATTTAAACCAGGGGTCGGTAAACTAGCTCATGAGCCACATGTGGCTTTTACTATTTTTATATTTAACGAGCTACATGCAGTCCTCAATTAGATGAATTTATTGCTTTAGAGCAGAGCGACTGTGAGTCTGCAGAGAAGGATTAAGTGCGGACAGTAGTAATGGTAATGGTGGTTAATTGGACAAACATAAACTTGACCTTTATACAGCAGCGTTGAACTTTTTTTAGTTTTCCTGCAAGTAGGAGTGTGTTTGCTTCAACAACCTAACAATTCCAGAAGCTTTGTTTTAGAAATAGCTTTACATTTTGAATTAGTGTAGGTAAAGCAGGTATGGAAAAAGGAGGGCCATCTCCTTCTACCCTGACAAGCTGGGGGCCCTTAATTAATGAGTCTGGTGCTTGGCTGATAAAGTCATTTTTTTCTTTTTTTTAAAAAAGATTTTATTGGGGAATTGGGGAGGGGAATAGCGTTGGGGAATCGGGGAAGGGGAACAGACAAGTTGCTGTCCTTTTGTTCTTCAGTCTGGTTGTGGAGGACGTCGCTTCACTGGCCCATGTTGGTATCATCATTGCGCTCTTCCCGGGTGAGGCAGTTGCTCGCTCGCCATTGGACGGCTGCTCACAGTGGCTCACGAAGCTCATACCCACTGCTGGCCAGCCCCACTGCAGCCTACGCCGTCGCTGGTGACCCATGGCAGCCCAGCTCCAGGTCGAGCTGTTGTTCAGCATCTTAGCTGTAGAGGGCGCAGTGTCACTGGCCCTCATATGTGGGATCCGAACCGGGGCCCTGCTGCTCAGAGCTGGCATCCCAAGCCAACTCCTGACCAACACACCACTCAGCTGGCTCAGAAACTCATTTTTTTCAAGGTGGGCCTTTGTCTGCTAGGAGCTGGTGCTTTCTCGCCAGATGATAATGGATCATAAACCGCTTTCATGCTGATGAAGCGGTGAAAGGAATGGGTTAGGGCGAGACCAGACCTTGTTCCCCTATTCCCACCTGTCTCGTTTTTAGGTAGGAAACTTTGGGGGACCATAAAGGAACTCTGCTCTTCCCTTAGGACTGAGGCTGGTGAGCAACCACCCCAGCTTAGGTGCCCTTTGGAATGTTCCCATGATGCCCCGTGCAGCGCTGTATCCCTGCACTTCCCTCCACCTAGTTTCTATATTATATACCAATTTGGCCTCCTCTGTTATACTATGAACTCCTGGGAGGTATCGTTGCCACTTTTACCCTCAATACATGGTTGGTCAGACGTCTTGGATTTTGTGTTTGTAAGGGTGAGAAGCAAGAAAAGAATCAAGAGTACTAGTAGGAGGGCCGGTCGAGTGGCACGTTGGTTAAGAGCTGGCTTAGGATGCCAGCTCTGAGAAGCAGAGCCCCAGTTTGGATCCCACATGAGGGCCAGTGACACTGCGCCCTCTACAGCTAAGATGCTGAACAACAGCTCAACCTGGAGCTGGGCTGCCGTGAGTTGCCGGCGATGGTGTAGGCTGCAGCCCCTGCTGCAGTGGGTTGCCATGGGCTACCGTGTGTAGCCAGCAGCCAGCGTGAGCGGCCAGCAGCCGCCGTGAGAGGCCGTCCAGAAGCCGGCGAATGATCTGCCTCGTCCAGGAAGAGCGCAATGATGGTGCCATCTTGGGCCAGTGAAGCAACGTCCTCCATAACTAGACTGAAGAACAAAACAACAGCAACTTGTCTGTTCCCCTATCCCCAATTCCCCAGCAGTGTTCCCATCCCCCCAATTCCCCAATAAAAATCTTAAAAGAAAAAAAAGAGTACTAGGTAGGAACTCAGAAAGAGAACTAGCTGTCATTCGGACCAAGAAGGTGCAGATGGCGAAGAGAAGGGATACAAGACATGTTTTTAATTCATTCAGCCAACATGTCCAATCAACCAACCAACCACATGCTGAGAACTGAGCTCACCCCCGTGCTCATTCTTTTTGTGTCATTTATAAGTCACATTAATCTTTGAGAAAGAATGACCAATTAAGTTTGTTTTTGATTCTTACAGATTGTAAATCTTGCCAATTTCTAATTCTTGGATTGTAGACATCTCTAGACTCAGTTATTCCCACTCATTTTTATTGATTCTTCTTTCAAAAGCAGTTATTTCCAAAATTCTGCATTCCTTTCTCACAGTGCCCATCAGCTAATTTATTTTTTAAAAGATTTTTATTGGGGAATTGGGGGAAGGGGAACAGACAAGTTGCTGTTGTTTTGTTCTTCAGTCCAGCTGTGGAGGACGCCTCTCCACTGGCCCAAGTTGGCACCATCATTGCGCTCTTCCCGGGCGAGGCACATCAGTCGCCGGCCTCTGGATGGCTGCTCACCGCGGCTGCTGGCCGCTCACGCTGGCTGCTGGCTACACATGGCAGCCCATGGCAACCCACTGCCACAGGGGCCGCAGCCCATGCCGTTGCCCGCGACTCACAGCAGCCCAGCTCCAGGCTGAGCCGCTGTTCAGCATCTTAGCTGTGGAGGGCAGTGTCAGTGGCCCTCATATGTGGGATCCAAACCGGGGCCCTCTGGCGTCCCAAGCCAGTTCTTAACCATCGCGCCACTCGGCCGACCCCCATCAGCTGATTTCATATTTCAGTGGCGATAACTTAGAATTTATACAATCCATTGACATAAAGCTGTTCCTGGTCTCATTCATTGCCAGAGAGGATCTCAGCAAACTATGAATATTTTGGCACTCTAATAAAGATATATATTCGGATTCATTATTGCATGTATGTACTCCAAAATGGAATGAATATTCTTATGTATTACAGATGAAATGTGAGCTGATAGGGTGAAGTTTTTCTTTTTTCTTTTGGAAATTTTATTCAAATTTGGAAATATATCTTAACCCAGCTGAGAAGAGGCAGATACTTTCTTCTTTAACCTAAATTTCCTCAACAAATTGAGCAATACATTGCAATGAAAAATATAGGATTTTTTTCAAGGTTCGGAAAAAACACAAGGTTAGTTTCATGCTTTAATTATATCAAGTATTTAATAGATAAGGATTGAAATGGTATCTCCCCAGCCCCTCTCCCCAAGCATTGCTCCCCTGTTCTGAGAATGTTTCAGCTGTGAGGGCTGCCCTCCTATGGCAGGCTTCAATTTTGCAATTTTCCTAATGGGGAAAACTGAGAGGGAAAAGAAGATGCGGAAAATTGTAATGACAGTGTTGAAAATGACCCATCATAATACCACTTAGAACTGGTGAGGTCCAGTAAAGGTCAAAACCCCAAACCCAGGAATTCTGTAAACAGATATGGTTTGGATCTTTAAACACGGTTCTAAGACACCAACCGTGTGGGACAGTTCCCACGGAACAACAAAGAGTTTTAGGAGCAAGTGGGTGGAGCTTCCCCCTCGAGGCTGGTGAATAGGTGT